GGGGAGTGGGGGGAAGCACTATTAGATAGGTTTTGCCGCCATAAATTATATTTGAGGTCTTCAGATCCACTCTTCCGAAAACACCGCTGATTAGCTAAATTACATATTCGTACCAATTATCTGCTCCACCTAAACAATATATTGGGGGATTTGGCAAAAAAAAAATTCTTTAAAGAAGACGGCTGCCAAATCAGGGAAAATTTCTAGGTAGCTCCATAAAGACTTTTACTTAAGGCAAATTAATTCGATTTCTACTGATGAATTAGTATTATTCCTCCTATAGACGACTTAAAACAATTTTGGTTTTTCGATTAGAGAAATGATCTAACTTTTGCCTATTTTCCTTTCACGAAAAGAATGCTAAGCCTATAGGATGGAAAATCCTATGAGATTGGGAAATAGGGATTTCAAGATTTCTATCTTGCTGTATTTGTCCAGAATCGTTTATGTTATATAATCATAGCGGCGGATATGAGAAGCACGAATCTTACAAATATTGATGCTCAGGACCGTCAAAAATGGAAAAGAAAAATCGGAGGGAAAACCGGCCTACCCGGGTAAACCTGGAAATCGCCATAAAACGGAGAAGAAGAAGAAGTCATATTGTATATGTTAGCGTCAATGAGTTTCTTTCGGGCAATGGGTTATTTTTACAACTTTAAATCATTTTTTTTTGAGCGTGTTTTAATTAAATTTTAAATAATCGGATTTTACCGGAAATCTATCATGTTTGGAATACCTATCTTATGAAATAGGTTATACAATTTTGGCTGTTAACCATTGAGTCATTTAATAATTTATATTTAAAAAAATTATATGGAAAATTTAATATAAATTAAATTAAATTTAAAATTTCGCGGAAAAAAAAAATTGTCTGAAATTCATGGGGTAGGTATTCCAAACATGACGTCATACATTTCCGGTAAAATAAGATTTAAAAATGAATTAATGTTGAAAAAAGTGGCGATAGGCTAAAATGATTAATGACAACAGGTTGGTTAGGCCTATGGTATGTTGCAGTTATCACCGCAAAATTTTGCCAGCTAGAACATATGGTCACCTTTCATTTAAATAAAAAATATGATTGATTTAAATTTATTATATTTTTATTAAGGTGAGTAATTAAAAAAATTGGTGTTGTTGAACGGCTCGAGCCGGATTTTAAAAACGGCTAACTCAATATTTTCTCCAGAAAAATACTAAGCAAGCCTAAAGATTTTGCACATGGATGGCACATAGGATTGAACACGAATTGGCAAAATCTCGACGCTTAGGCAATATTTTCCTGGCTATAATATTTTAACAACGCTATAGTCAAGAATATTAGAACAAGCCTGGGAGATTCTGCTCTTAGAAGCTAGAAATGTTTGGACACCTAGTAACAAAATTTCGAGGTTCGCGTTTTAATTGTTGTAGAGCTCGAGCCGTTTAAAAACACTAATAAAAAAGTTAAAAAAAAAGATTCTTTAATTAATTTTTTTTTTGCCAATCAATTTCAATTTTTTTTTTGTTATAATAAAAAAAAAATTATTTGTAATAAGTTGTTTCTTCTTTATTTTTTTCCGAATTAATTATATCAAAAAACAAAACAATAAAATTTTTAATCAAAATTTCTAAATTAAGATATGTGTTTTTTTTTAGTTTTTAGAGTAGAATAGGAAAGGAAAAGATGATGAAGGAAAATGGAATATAAAGAAGCAAGAAGGAATCAATATGTCGATTGTGTGTTTTATATTTTTTTTAGTTTTGAAGTTTTTTGAAGGTGAAACTTTATATATTATTTTTTTTTTCAAAAATATTCCACAAAAAAAATTCTTTTTTTTTGAAATTATATATGTAAATTTTTTTTAAAAAATATTTAATACAAATTTAAAACATATTTGTTTCGCGAAACATTCTTCCCCTTAGAGAGGACCTAAAAAAAAATAAACGAATTCTTACTGGAATAACCCTTATATTGAGAATTGGAATCAAAAGCAATGATGAAAATTTGGTAAGTTTGAAAAATTGATATTTTATAATATAATTCTTCTAATTGTAAATTTAAAATTACATGATAACCCCCGTGGGTGAGGGGAGGTAAATTTCATCGTCATTCAATTCGACCCAAATTCGATATACTGTCTTTTCCCGATATTTACCTCACGTTTTCAGGGAAAGAGTTTTGGCTTGGAAACCCATTTTGAATTTTTTTTAAAGTTATTTTTAGTTTGATATTTAATTCAACAAAAAAATATATATTAATAATAAAATTTATGAGGAAAAAATGACATTTTTTGAAAAAAATATTTCTTTCAACCAAAAATATTGCTTTCATTTGACCGACATCTGGGCTAACTTTCTAAAAAATTTTGCTTTCAACCAAAAATATTACTTCCATTTGACCAACTTTTGGGCTAACTTTCTAAAAAAAATTTGGTAATATGAAGTGGGATTATATTAATTTATCATCATTGAGAAATTAGTAAACCACATTATTTTTAAAAAAAAAACCCTAAATATAGTTTGGGTGGCCAAATGTCGGCTAGTTCGTCCTCAATCTACAGGTGCGTGCCGGAGAAAATACGTTAACATTAAGAGGTTTAAATTTGTATTTAGTTTCTCAAATATGAACTGCTATGGTTTTTAGAAAAACTCCGGGGTCTAAGTGATAGTGTTCGGCTAAAAATTGGCCAAAACGACTAAAAATAACTAATAATTTTCTTACTTTGTCTCAGGAGCAAATTTTTTACAGTTTCATAATTCCATTAAGATTATGAGTGTTTTTAAACTCAAAAGTGCCGGAAATTGGGGGATCGGCGAAATTGTAAACGCCAAAAAGAGGAAAACCCTCTTTCCTTCTCCAATTTTACACGAATGCCGATACTCTTAACAACTTCCTACCCTCTCTTTCCTTATTAACCGCGTCAACCCCCCCTCTCTTATAGGATTGCCCGATTTGGATCTATACTTTTTATATATCGACGACTTTCTGCTGTAATTTCGTCGAGCTTGATCTGGATTTTTAACTGATGTTTTAAAAACTTAAAAATCATTTGTAGCGGGCGATGTTTTTTATTATTATATCTTGAAAAAACCCTGATTGGTAATTCTAACTTTAATCCGACGACGGGATTTAATATATTGATATTATAAAAAGACATTGTCCGCAAAAAAAAGAACACATTTCCAAAATCCTACAAGAATCAATCAATCTTGATCGTTTCCAACTTAAATCTTTCCTTTAGACCCAATTTTCAGCCTTTGCTTCCAGAATAAAAGAGGCATTAACACCTACCCATTTTATTTAGGTAGTCGGTGCTTTTAAAATTTTTAAATCATGAGATATGTTATAAAAATAAATTTTCCTTTAAAAAAATGGGTTAAAAACTGGCATTAGGCACTTATTTTAGAGGTTCTAAAAGCAACTCTTTGCACTCCCTCCCCCTCTCCCCTCCATTCTGACGCCAATATCTTCTTTTCTCAGATCTCCTTATATAGTTCGAGTCAAAATATAAACAATTTCTCTTTATAATAATATAATATTTTTGAATAAAAATCGAATTCAAGGATTATTTTTATTTTTTAAAAAAATAAATAAATAAAATAAAATAAGAACCCCCGATGTCTTTTGATATTTTAAATTATTAATATTTAATATGTCAAATCATTTTTTAGTCGAGATTGGAAATTCTGAATTTATATTACATCGACTTTAATCTGGTATGATGTTATGACGACCAGATTTTTTAAAATATGGATAACACAATAGCCCAAAAAATGTTATATAAGCCTCGAGATTTCGTTAAGTGATGTCCATCAAACCTATCTGCAATCTTATGAACAAAATCTCCAGGCTTTCATAATATTTTTAGGCTAAAATATTGGGTTAGCCGTTTTTAAAAAGACCGAGCTTTGTTTAACCATATTAGGGGAATGATTATGATTATATTTTTTGATGCATATTAAGAAATTCGGCAAGAGTTAGTGTGGTAAGTGAAAAGAAATTTATAGATTGGTTAAAGAGTTTTTCTAGAGTGGGAAGTAATTTTAGGTATAATTATTTATTTATTTTTATTTCGGGGTTGTAAATTGTTGGATTTTTTTTTAAAAAAAATATATATATATAGAGAGATATTAATTTTAATTATAAATCTCAATAATGATTATTTCAAACCATTTTAATATACCTAGTGGAATCAAAAGGTGACGCAATATGTATCCACACAAGGAACAACCAAGACATTCTACGATTTTCAATATTCGATATATTATAATTCCATTCTCAGCAATGATTTTTTTTTTTAGCTGTCAGAAAACCAAAAAAAAGGCATAATCTTTATCCCCCTAAGGAAACAATAAAAACCAGATCTATATATATATACGATATATTATGATTGGCCTACCAGGGTAAACCTGGAAATCGCCTTAAAATGGAGAAGAAGAAGAAGAAGATATTATGATTACATTCTCAATAATGATCACTTTAAATATTTTATCTACCGAGTGGAACCAAAAAATGACACGACAGTTATCCCTCCACTAGAACAATAAAAAAACAAACCTTTAGGCCAAATTTAACACTACTTCAGTAGTTTAGAGTAGGGTCAGGTTTTGAAAAAAAATAAATAATACTTGGTCCCCTTTAACCTACTGCAGTCGGTGCGATTATCAGCCTCCTTTATTTTACATATATCATATTGTGTTGTGTGTGTAGAACCGTAAATTACTTATGTTTGATCGATATTTATACGAAAATTTAATGATTTATTTTGTTAATGAAGTTGCCAGAGTTTATTTTTAATAAACGAGAAAATAAAATTTAAAAAAATCAGCTGACCAAAAAAAAATAGAGAAAGATCAGTTCATCGAATCTGACTAGTGAAATTCGTACAAGAGAACAGCTGATTTTAATTCATAAGTATTTAATATCAATTTGTAATAATACTCACACGAAATAATAATAATCATCATATTTATTTCCCGAAGAAAAGAAAATTGAAATTTATTTATAAATAAACTTCGGATTTCCTCGGAGAGAAGCCAGGTGCAACGCGTTAAATCCGTTATTATTGGTCGTAGTAATGAGATCGGTATCTTTGACGATAAATTTGTTTTTCCCGAAATTTTGCTGGCCCGACATTTCGAAGGTGCTAGCATTTTTGTGGCTGATTTTGTGGTTTATGTTCGATGAAACGTTATTAGAAACATTTGAAACTTTACGGCTTAAACGGGAATCGGTGGTGTCTTTCCGGCAAATCTCCTCGAAGTTCAGGAGAAATGACAAAATTTCGTCCTTCTTTTTGCTGACGGCGTCGTGAACCGGAGTATCTCCCTCTAGATCCTTTAAAAAAAATAATTGAGGTATCGCGGCACTTCTATATATTTCTTATTCTTCTTTCTCTCTTTCTTTCTTTCTTTCTTTCTTTCATTCTTTCTTCCTCATTCATTCTTTCTTCCTCATTCTTTTATTTTTTTTGTTGAGAGTACTTATTAAAGCAACTTTTATTACTTGTAAATTAGGATGAGCCCCAAGCTTGAGTAACATTTCAACCACGTCCGAGAACCCTCTATTGACTGCTATATGCAGGGCCGTTTGCCTTTTCCTATTACGGGCATTAAGATCTATATTGTAAGAACAGAAATTAGCCGCCATCGACAGTTGGTTATCAATTTTGAGATCTTGGTGGTGGCCTAAATCATTTATTCTGTCGTTTTCGACATTGTTATGTTGCTCGGCAATAATCTTGGAACCCTCGCGAAAATTGGCCAAGAGTTCGATGATGTGAGGTTCGTCCCCTATGGCCGCGTGGTGAATAGGCAAATCCCCATTCTTATCCTTATTCGTGCATTTAAATTAATATTAATTGAAATTGAACTCCTTTAAATTATTAAATAACTATTATTTAAATTATATTTTTTTAAGAGGGGTAGATTTAATGGTAAATAGGTAAAATGGAGATAGACATGTGATCAGGGGTAGATTTAATGGTAAATAGGTAACATGAATAGACATGTGATCTTATTTTCATAGGCCTGATAATGTTTCGAGGTAGTCTTGCTTTGCATGAGATTAACTATGGTTAGATCAATGCGCGAGCCGACATTTTTGTAATTGTTCGGGTGCCTGTTTACTGACTTGTTGGCGAACCGATTTAATAAGTTCTGGGGGAATTTGAGTGACCCATAGGTCAGTTTATAGAATAAATAGTATGGGTGGATGGTCAAACTTTTAATGAGTTTCAACTACGAAATAATAATTAAAATGGCGCAAACTTATAAAGAAGAGGAAAAGAAAATAGAAATAAAAAATAATTCAAAAAAAATATAAAGGAAAAGAAAGGATAGATGAGAAAATATAAGAATTACTTCAAGTTGTATATTAGCTCGGTGTTTGAGCAGTATTTTGATCACCTCGATGTGACCATTTTGACAGGAAACGTGTATGGCTGCATATCCCGAGAAAATTGAATCGACCTGTTTGACACATTTAAATATACAGATTATAGGAGTGTGGTGCAATGACATTAATACTAATCCAAACTGACTGACAATCCTCATTAAAATGCAAGTGTAACCTTGAAGTCGGCCATCGAAAGGCATTATATGCATTTAGGCGAAATATCTTTCAATAGCATCTACTACAGCCTATTTATTACATTGTCTACAGCTGACTTCGATATATGTAAACCGTTAATAAATTAATAGTCAGTCTCGATTGGCATTAATTCGCTGTGTAATATCGTTACTAAAGTCGTTACTTTACCCCCCAAAAATGAGGTTAATTGGACAAAAAGCGACTTATATAATGTAACGTCATACATTTTACGTCACTTGTTACCTTATATTTTATTAATTATTATATTCTAATCATTTTTGTTTTATTATTAAATATTCCGAAAAATGGAGAAGGAAAATCAAAGGTGAAAATGGCTTCCTTGGACAGTGGCCCCTACAATGGGGGGAATGGGGGGGGGGGGGGGGGGGGATGGGGTCGAAGCGTGGGGGTACTTCTTTTTTTTAATTTTCTTTTAAATTTTCTTTATTATTTAATTCTTTTACTGTTTTGTTACATCCATCATCATGATCAAGTGATTTCTGGTTTATAAATGTAATAATAAGATCCCCCTTCCCCAGCTTAATATTTAATTTAATATTGACGGAAATTTTGGTCGATGTTTAGTAAATTAGGTTGTTAACCGAGATCTTGTCATAAATTATTTTTTCAATTTTTAAATATGCCTAAAAATATTAACCAAAAAAATACAAATGCCTAATTAAAAATTGCAAATCGCATAATATAAGAGATGATAAATGGATAGATCACATTAGAAAAAGACATGGTGGGCTTAATTTTAACGATATAAAGAAAAGCTTTGAAATAGTAGCTTTTACGAATGTTACTCAAAATTGGACAAATAGCAAAGTAATTTTTTTATTAAATATATTATTTATACGAAAAAAGAAGTAAAAATTGGGAATTCAATGCTGTTGGTATAATATATATTTTTAATTAATATAATTATCTTTTAAAAGTGTCCTAATAATAAAGAAAATGTGTTAGAAAAAAATATAGTATCTGATGATTCTGATGATGATTCTGATAATGATCATGAAATTAGTGGACCTGAGGTCATTTAATTACTCTTATTTTTTATCTCTGCTATATTTTTTTATAGGCAGACATAGAGCAGAGATTTGATAAGGTAGAACAAGAAAATCCTATTATCTCTCTACTGGTAATAAATATTAATTTAGCATTATTAAATTTTAATGAATACAACATATGCAGTTTAACGAAAGATTTAATGATGATTCGATAAATTTTTACATCAAACATCATTTTTTACGCCAAAGGGAATGGCAGATAAATCCATTATTAAAGAAGATATCGAGGATATCAGTGAATTTTACAATTTAAATTGTAAAATTTTCGAAGAAATGTTGAAGTTTAGAAATATTTATAAGATGGCCAAAATGGGGAATGTAATTATTACTCATGAAATCTAAAGATTTGTCAGATTATGAGAATTGTAAATTTATTTAATTAAAATATTTTTACCAATACATTATTTAGCTTCTTCTGATGATGATGATAATTCAGGGACTTACGATTCAGATTGGAAAAACTATTCATTTATTTACCTTATCGTCTACTTTTAAATTTTTCTGCTTTGCCTAATTTAAGAATTTTATATAAATATTTATTAACCATTCCTACAACCTCATGTACTGCCGAAAGAGTTATGAGTAAAATTAAATTAATTAAAACAAGACTTCGTAGTACCATGAAAGATTCATTTCTCAATAATTTAACCATATTATCAATGGAGAAAAATTTATTTAAACAATTAAATATTGATGAAATTATAAATTCTTTCGCTTTCTCTTCCCCTAATTTATCTAAATTATTAATTTAAAAATAATATTTATAAAATATATATTTTTTGCATTTTATTTATATTATGCATAAAAAATTGATGCAATAAAAAAAATTTTTGAAAATTTATAGATGTCATAAAATAATTATCATTTTTTCGAGGGGGGGGGAGGGACTTTTCAGGGGGGTATTCTGCTTCATTCGCTCAGAAAATATAGGGGCCACTGTCCTTGGGTACCTAAAATGATCAATAAACTGAGAAAAAGGGGAATCTCATTTTATTCTTCTCTCAGCTGCTATTATTTTATTGGTCCATTGGATGTCTTCGATACTATTGGACAGTAGAGCTAGTGAGGATAAATATAAGTGAAACTATCTTTATCATTACCTATGCCAAATGATAGAAAAACAATATTTTATTTATTTTTGAGGGATATATGAGAAGTTAGTCCTAAGACTCAATCCCAAGATAAGAAAAAAACGCTTTTTTGTGATGAAAATATGTAGGATTATTTGAATGATAAAATATGAAAACTCTTCTAGAAAAAAAAGATACATCTTTAGAAAGGAAAACTTTGACGATTTTCTAACATTCAAATTCTGTCTGTAAAATATAATACACCCCTCTCCCCCAACATACTCGAGACCTAATGAACGGATGTTCAGTACAGGAGAGACGGTGCTGATCGAAAATTTGGAAAACAATAGCCATTGAAATTCTTTAAAAAAAGAAAATTATCAATATATACATTTAGAGAATAGAGAATAATCATAATAGATAAATAAAATTCTGTCCAAATTTATTCAGTCTTTTTCCATAGTAACATTTTAGGTACTTTTAAAAAAGTAAGGTAACGGGTGTTACTTTTTTTTAAAAAAAAGAGTAGCCTAAATGTAACAATGTCACCTTTTTGGAGTAACATGTTGCAAACGAAGATAGTTAAATTTAATCGCTATTATTGAAAGGACATAAATTAACAAAAATAACTTTTCATTTTAAAGAAATAAATATATATAATAATAAAAATCTATAATAATCGTAAATAATATTTTTCATTTTTACATCCACAAATTTTTCTTGGCTATTTTCGGAACGCTCATTGATAGATAATATTTCCCGGCATTTAACGTGGTCTCCATTGGCAGCCGCCTTGACCAGCTCTTCGTTGAAATCTCCGCACACGTGGTTTTCGAAAAGGCGTTTTAAGATGGCGCTTAATCGTACTTTTTTTTTAAATATATAATTTAAAAAAAATATATATTAAAATAAACGATAAAAGCTTCTCGATATATAATCTAATCCTAAGTACACGATGTCACCTTTCCTTTCTTTCCCTTCCTTTTTTTTCCAAATTTTTTCGATAGTTTTATATATTTATAAATAGTATTGTTAAAAACTCCGATTTGGGTCGATTTTTCAAAACGGCCCGATTAACATTGTGACTAAAATAATATTATATTAAGCATCGAGATTTGGCAAATAGATTGTCCAAGCATTTCTGCCGACTATGAGCAAAATCTTTAGGCTTACAATAATGTTATTTTAGTTATAATCTTAATCGGGCCGTTTTTTTTAAATCTGCCGTTTTCGGGTTATTTACCAACACTATTTTATAAGCACACGACTGATAAATATTCCATAATAATAAAAAAAAAAAATATGTATATTCTAAAATAACGCCTTGTAAATAAATATTACAACGTACCTCCGTTCGTTTCCCCGTTGATTTCCGATTCGGATACAACCTTGGAAACCAATTTAGGATTAAAGGTCCAACAAACCCCGTTTATTTCGATTTTAAGGTCCCCATCGCCGTAGACGAGCTGAACTTTGCCAAAATTCCCGAGGGTCTTTCAAAAGAAAATGTAAATAGATTGTTTGTTTTTTTTAAATCAAGCGAAAGAAAAAAAATCGATCCACGACAAGATGGCTGACTTGGTAATTAGTTGTCGCAAATTTTTTTTTTTTTAAAAAAACAAATGCTGTTAAACGGGCTCTATTTTGCCCAATATTTTCGGCTTGTAAAAATCGAGCCCCCCCCTTTATTGCGCGGCATGTTTTAATTTGTCCCGCGTATAAAAAAAGGGAGGAGGGGAGTGGAGCGGGAGGAATATAATTACAGATCAGGACATATTAGATCCTTTTTTTTTAAAAAAAAAACTATTTTATTTTATACCCAGAATTCGCGCCCAAAATTTTATACGCATTTCATGTATCCAGCCCTTTTTTTAAATTATTTTATTTTCAAGCTTTGGAAATTACAAATAAAAATCTATCCGATCATTTCATGTCCAACTGCACAATTATTTCGGATATTTTTTTTTGTTAAAATTTATCCTTTTTTTAAAAAAAATAGCTCTAATTATTGACCCCCCTTTGTTTATGGCCCTGATTGTCTTAGTGATTTAAACTCGTTAACGATATCATATTCATTATAATCTGGTGTAATAGTGCGCACAAATTTAGCGTTTCAAAACGCAAATAATACATTTTATATGCGTTCGTTTAAATTGGGCCGCATTTTTTGTTTTAAATTTAGACGTTTCATATTAAAAAATAATAATAATTAACGGTTCGATTTAAACATAGCTGCGTGCGTTCATGTTTTTTTTTATTTGCGTTTTGAAACGCTGCGTTGAAAAGTTGAATTTGTGCGCACTATAATATATACCTTGACTGACGTTTCATTTATTTAAAATTTGTATCAATGCAAATCGACTGGTGGACACGACATTATGGTTTCTCTTATAAATAACTTATATTTTAAAAAAAATTTAATTTTTTATGTTCTTTCTTTCTTTCATGGCATATCACATTAACTGATTTTCATTCAACGACGCTTTTCAAAATGCATCTTTAATAAATGAATCGTTAATCTAGGTATAAAGCGGGAACGATTTGAATAATTAAATAAACCTCCGATTTGTTTCGCGGTATATAAAAATATTAGTTTGCAAAAATATAACTTAAAAATGTAAACGTTACAACTTTTAAGGATATAACTTGTAAACTATGAGTATTTATTTTTTTTTGAGAGTAACTTGTGAACATTTTAAAAAAAATATATATATATATTATTAATTTACGGATTTCATAGAGTCGGACCATTCCCCGTGACCAACTTGGGCTATTTGCGCCCGCGCTGAGGTCTTTGGTTATTTGCACGATATCACCCGTCGAACAACACGAAGCGGGCCCTTCCAAATCGGGAGGCATCGGAAGGGACTTATTTGTGTTGGCGGTATTGGTATTGGAAGCTTTATTGAGAGTAGCAGGGTTCAAAGTCCACCTAACAAAAAAATATTTAAAAAAAGTTTTATTTAAATCAAATTCTTTATGAAAAATCAAATAAATAATAAAATAACTAGTGTTGTAATTTTTTAAAAAAAAACATGGTGTTATCAGCGTTCCTTTTATTTTAGACGCGTTCACTTACTTTTAACGAACGCGTTAGTTTTTTTTGCGTTTATTCAATTTTAAAAAAATTTTAACTGGATATTTTGTTCTTAAATAAAAGATTTGATTTCCTTCATCTTTTTTCTTTTTTTTCAGCATGATTTGCTTTACTGTGTCAATTAATTTATAATATGGTTGGTTTGTTTTTTTAAAAAAATAAGTTTTTAAAATTAAATTTTTTATAGATAGTTATTATCTAATTGTTCGGAACTCGGATAACATATCTTTGCCATGAGCCATTTACGAGTATTTCGATTTTAATTATATATTTTAAAAAAAATATTGTATATAACACGGTTCCCGTTCTAAATCGCTAAAACAAAAATCGCTAAAAATTGGGAACATGGCTTATATCTCCTAGAAAATTTTTAAAGTAAATTTGAAATTAATATTAATAGATACTAGGGGACTAAACACTTTTTTGAATGATATTTCTTCCATTTTAGCGATTTTTTTAAAATCTTCAATTTAAATACAAGTGTTTAGTCTCCTAGTATCTATTAATATTAATTTCAAATTAACTTTATAAATTTTCTAGGAGATATAAGCCAGGTTCCCAATTTTTAGCGATTTTTGTTTTAGCGATTTAGAACCTATCCTTATAACACGGAGCCAATAACCAGCCCATTTTACATGTTAGAAAGTGTAGATTATAAACATGCATTTTAGCTATTTGCACGCCAACGATAATATTATTCAAAATTTCGAAAAAAAATATTATACGTGTTTAAAACTTATTGTGAAGAATTGATAAAAAATTAAACTTATCATTTTTCAAATCATTTATATATTTATATTTTAATCTTTTTTTAGATTTAAGTATATATATATATATATATCGGAGACTGTAAAGGTTCATTCGTACTGCCCAGATTTATTTTTTTTTCGGCCCGTATTTTCAGACCCAGCCCGGATTTTTTTGAATATACGGTCGGACCGGGTAACGTGGCGGGCCTGCACGTCTCTGATATATATGAAAATGCAATATTAAATCAAGAAAAAAATCGATTTTCAACCCGACCCCCTCAGAATTTTTTTTAAATTTTGTATATTGGTAGTATATACTATAACTAAGAAAAAAAATGAAATTTTACTTCCTTACACCGAAATGCGATAGAAACCCGATTAATACCAAAAACCGGATGTACAAAACCGGAAATGGCCATAGAAAAAAAGGGTTTGTTATCAAGATTTTTATTTCTTCAGATTTATACCAAACTGCTATATTTGTACAAAATCCTAGGCTGGACTGAAGTGGGTTAATCAAAGTGTTAAATAAAACCAAATTGCCCCCCATCTGTCAACTAATATTTTTTTTTAAATAATAATGTAAAAACCTTTCATTTAGACATAATTTTTACATAAAAATTATTACTACTACCAGAAAAATCAGATTTTTAAAAATTAAAAAAACACGCTCAACAAATAATTGTTGAAAAAATCGCACAATGCCGGAAAAAAACACATTATATTTTTTCTAAAATAATATTTTAAAAAAAGTAACTTGTAGAAAATCAAGAAATGTAAAAATTTCAGAACAGTATCTAATTCTTCTTCTTTTTACGGCGAAGAATTAGTGGACAATTCGGATGGATTATTTTTTTTTACTACAAAAGATAAAAGCATTTAATTTCCCACACATATAAATCACTATTCGTCATAAAATTACGATACCACCTTCAAGCTCCTTGTAAACACGTTTTCAAGGCATAGCAAAATTCAAAGTAAACTACAAAACGTTCTTGCGTATATTGTTGTTAGCTCGATTGGAGCCGATTTTTTAAAAACGGCTAACTCTATATTTTATCCAGAAAAAAAATAATTACGCAAGTCTGAAGATTTGGCTTATTGATGGCGTAAAAGTTTGGATATTTATTAACGAAATCTAAAATATTGAGTTAGCACGGCTTAAAATCGAGCTGTTTAACAATACTACTTGCATATCGGGACTAAATAAAAGTTACTATAAATTCAAATTCAATATTAAAAAAGATTGCAGTTGATGAATTATAAATATTAAATTTATACATACCATACCGAAATCGATAAACAAAAAAATAGAATTGTGTAGAAATAGGGGGAGGGGATTGCTGTGTGTCAAAGGAACTAAGTGGGATAAGGGAGTAGTTCAAAGAAACACTTGTAATTCCTTTTTAGGATTTCAATTAGAGTTTTTTGTTTGAGGGTAAAGTGACTCGTTTTTGACCCGCGTCATTGTTGAAATTTTCTGATTTAAAAAATTTTGGGATTGGGGACAGAGGTTTCTCAAAACACTAAAGATTAGAGAGATAAATAAAACCTCTATATTTATTGCATTTTTTAATTTCTTGAAGCTCCAAGAGGTCAGAGTTTCTATTGGCGGGAAATGAGGTAACACGTCGACATTTGTGTTGCCTGCAAAAAGCAAATTGATCCATTTTATAAGCATTGTTACTCTATAGATTGATCGACACTTTGATATCGCCGGTTTCTCCAATAGTTTGGAGCCGTTAGGTCTTTTAAATCGATGGCATGTCTTTAAAATCTTGGCTCGCCGGCAAAAGACTTGTCTGGGATGTGTCCTGTTTTACCTCATTTCCCGCCAAGAGAAATTCTGATTTCAAAAAATTAAAAAATGAAATACAGTTCCCTCCTGAATTCTTTTATTTTTATTCTCCTCATTTTTAGTGTTTTGGGAAACCCCGGTCCCCAATCCTTAAAATTTTTAAATAAAATGGTTACGAAAATTTCAATATGGAAGAGGATTAAAAACGAGTCCCTTACCCTCAAGCAAAAAACTCAAATTGAAATCCTAAAAGGGAACTACAAGTGTTCCTCTGAAACACTCCCTTCTCCCTCTTAGTTTCTTTAACACACATGGCAAACCCCCCCCCCATATTACACATTGTTTATTTTTTACCATAATCTATAAAGAAAATATATCTAAAGAGAAAACCTTTAAAATAATAAATATTTATGTTAAAGTCAGTTGGGCTTAATAATCCATACTTAAGTTAAAGTCAGTGGGGCTTAATGACCCATGTATAGACTATATAGTTGAATCCGAAAATTCTGATCGATATTCTTTGTCGCAATTAAAAGCTTTCTTTTGGATCACCTGTGAGATTAAACGTAACTTTTGCCCTATTGTTTTGAGTAGTTTAGGACTTGGGGTGTTTTGTTATTTATTTTATACATCATTTTAATAAAGAAAAAAAATATATATATTAAGCCCAAAGAAACATAGTGTTTTTAATATTAGGCATTTATTTAAAATTAATTAATATCAAATGTATTCAAAAAAATATTTTTTTTAATTTGTCCTAATGCGGCGAATCGATATGGAATTTTGTTTCCTTTTTTCTTTCTATTCGTGCAGTCATGTACAAAGGCAACCTGTTTAAATTTCTCTTTTGCTTCAGACCCAAGTTTCTTATCCATTGCAACTTATCGTGTGGGGAATATGTTGGATCTCCAAATCAATTAAGGTTTCCAAAAGGCAACCCAAACACAAACTTCGGTATTTAAAAGTTAGGGAGCCTGGATATTTAAACTCGGAAATAAATTATACATGTAGCTATCGCCGTTGCAGGTTTGTATAGTGGGACTTAATTTGTGTAGATTTTAGCCTTTGGATATGATATTTTTTCGGTCCTACGAGATTATACATTTCGGAGAATGTAAAATATCATATGCAAAGAGTCCTATAATTTTTTTAACCCCGGATAACTCAATGACCGCCTTGGGGGTATACGTGTAACCAAAATTGCAATGCGAGATAAAATAGTTCATCAAGTCCGTCAATCAGTATAGTGAATAGGAAAGATGACAGTGTATATCTCCCTATATGAAAACCAGTTAAATTATCCAATTTATAGGATAATCAGTTGTTGGCTAGATCCGAACTAATCCAGTGATTAATTATACAGCTTAAGTATCGTTATAAGAAAAGAAATTTTTGGAAGAATATTCGTAAAACATGACACGTAGTTGGTTATCAAGTGAGAAGATATTCCCAAAAATCTAGACATATAATTATGTTAATGATAGGCTTCGGTTTTTAATCGTCGATAATGCGTCTTATGCGTGGATTTGCTCTACCCCGTTTAGACTTTCTACAAAGACATCTTGAATCAGAAGGAATACTGTTGAATTATGCGACTAAGAAGTATTTTATTAAATACTTAGGCCGCAATAAACATGAGAGATATACCCCTGTAGTTGGATGAAAAAAATAGATCATCTTTTTTTTGAAAGTAGGAATAATTATTTTTAGCATGGAAATGAATTAGGGTGCCTTAGCCACCCAAGAATGGTAATTTTATAAGGGTCAGCTAAAATATTGACGAGGTTGAGGTTTTTTTATATAGAATTTTAAGAGTCCTACTTAATTCTGTAATCAGACACAGGAAATTTACCATTTAATAACTGCTTGATGGCTTGTATCAGCATCGGTGATTAATCATGTTGAGTTAAGATGGGGCATATTTTATTTATTATATTTCGATCATCTCCAAATTGATCTAAAAAAATAATTAAGCGCCAAAATGTTTGCACTCTTTAATAGTGCGACCTAATTGAGCCCAGTTTGTGTTTTTAGTAATGTTTATATAAGTTGTTATCGATTTGCAAAATATCATTCAAAATTGATAGCGTAACGGTAATTAAGTTTGCCACTATAAATGAATATTTTTAAAAATCCCCTAAAAAAATAAAAATGTCATTTCAGTTGAAGAGAGAAAGGATCCCCGCTAATTATAAAATGAGAAGTTTTTCCCGGTGAGGATGGAGAGGGGGGGGGGCAATTACTCGTTAAATATTTATTTTAAATTAAGTGGTAAACATTGTAATTTTTTAAAATAAATATTTACAAACCTGTTACCACTTGGGTACATCACGATAATATCTTGATCTTCATCTATCCCTATAACGGTCCCAGTGCTTCCTAAACACTTTAATAAAATTGTTTATAATATAATTTAAGATAGCAAGCCATTTTTTTGCATAACCTACAAAAGCTAAATTAATTTTATTCATTTACTTCGAACATCTCATCGGTCCAACCACCGTGTGTGTGTTGCAAACTTTGAACGACTTCCAAATCGAGGTCTATATTGACTTTGTCGTCTATATTGAAAGTTCCGACGTTCGACGAGGATGTAATTTGTTCTCCTTGTATTTAATATATAAAATATTTATTTTTATTGCAATTCATATAGTTTTTGAAACATTTTTTTTTCTTTCAACAATATTCCTATGTAAAGTAAATTTTTAAAAAAATTATATACACTACCGACCATAAATGACTGCCCACCCTTCATTTTTACATAAAAAATTAATAACTTAAAACTTTTTAACTTATTTGGGTAAAAGCGAATTGATTAATTAATGACATATTTAGAAATAAAAAACTCGGAATTATAAATTTTTCTATGAAATTTTAGCCTTTGAAAACTACATGTCAAAAATGACCAATTTGGTAAAATAGGGTTCATTAGTTTTTTTTAGCAACAATTTTAAGTTGCTCATTGTTTTTTGGAAGAAAGTCATTAATTACATTCTAATCTGCTAATTAATACCCAATTTTAATTATTTTAAAAAAAATTGCTAGATATTTTTGTTTTAAATCATTGTTTAAAGAAACTTTTAGTCAATTTTAACGAACATTCGACCAAAATGATTAAAAGAAAAGAAATTTCTATTCCAACTTAAATGCAAAATAATTAATATAAATTTCTTCTAGATTTTATAAAAATTATGCAATACTCTTCCTTTTTTTAAAAAAAAATTGATCCTACTAGGTCACAATTATCTTTTTGAAAAGATTGTCATCTTTATTCGATCCTTTTATAGGGATTGATTCCTGCATAAACAAATAGCATGAATATGATGTTTTCCTTCTTTTAAAAAAAAAAATTAACATTTTCTTGCTCTGATGATCGGGTAACAAACAAGAAATTGCTATGCTAATAGTAAAGTGTGATTTTGGCAAATATATTAATATAAAACATATAATCTTATGTAAGCTGATCTTTTATTCTCACTCAAAGAAAAATAGAGTGGTAGCCCACGTTAGTTAGAAAAAAAATTCAGATGGTACAAATGTGGTACAATTAAAAGAATTATCCATCTTAAACAAAATTTTATTTTATGATTTATCTCAAAATATATAGAGAAAATATATATTTATTGTTTAAAAAAAAGGTATCTAAAACGCGTAAAATAAGGAGTAAAAATTAACGAAAAAATTATTAGCTGATATAAAAGGTTAATTAACAAAACAAAAATAACATTATGTAACGCGAAATACGTGATAAATATGTATAAGCGGGTTACGAAGATGCAAATTCAAAAAGTTCGATTATAGTGCTCAGAATTTTATGATTTGGTAGTCAACGAATTACCCCACCTCCTCCCTATTTCTATTAGTTATCTAGTGTGGAGATCAATACCTCATAAGTGACTTGGGGTTTTGAATGGCATCAGCTTCGACTGGTCTGCTGAGGCACTACACCCTAATATTTTTTTTTTAATTTTCTTGCAAAGAAAGGAAGTACGACCTGTGCTGCCAATCGAGCACAATGTCTTACTATATTCCTTTATACTCATTATTTTATGGCGAGACAAAGAGAATGTTTTCTTCCTTCCTATTTCGCAACCCGATTGGATAATTCGGAAAATGTTTGAAAAAAGAGGAAAAAATATATAAATGAAAATATTTTTTATTCAATATATATTTAATTTACCTAACAAAGGTAAATGTTCCTTGTAATAAGGTATGCCCTTTCCCGCGTTAACGACCTTCAAATCGACCTATAATTATGATAAATCAAAATGTATGTTTTAGGGTCATTATGTCAAATGAAGCAAGAAAGTTGCGATTTTCGGCCGACCGCTTTAAATTTCAATTATAGGCACATTATATATGTTCTACTTACATCAAGGCGAAATTTTCGCTTGTTAGAATATACCTGAGATAACGGGGGGGGGGGGGGGTACAAAATCTGGATTTTTGTGGGCTTCTTAATCTTATGTGCAGTTAACAAATTCGAGATCTGCAAATCTAGGCCCTTTTCAGTTTATAAAAAAAATTTGCTCAAGTTACACGGCCCGGTCCGCTAAAATTTATGTCTGGCCTAGACCGACCGTTTAAATTTTACGAAAAGTCAGCCACAAGCCCGTTAAATTTTGTTGTACGGATTTTCCGGTAATCATATTTTTAAATATCTATATCCAATCTTTCCCCAATATAAATTATGGCAGTCATATTAAATCAATCGTGTTATATCTGTATTGTGTAATTGTGATTGCAATTGAAACATTATCATTTGCCTAATTTATTTTTGTGAATTCATTGTATTATTTATAGATTTAAGATTTTAGTTAGGCAGGCTCTTGAAATACAAAGAAATAAGCACATTGTAACTTATTTTCAAATAGTAATTAATAAATATAAATATAAAATATTAGCTTGAAATTCAAAAAAGTATCAAAATTTTAATTGCCCCCCCTCATTGGTTTATTAAAATTTTATAAAAAAATCAGTAGTACGAATTCCCCTGCCCGCCCCGGAAATCTCGGCCCAACTGGTCCGCTAGCAGGGCTTTAAGACTGGCCGGGCTTTACAAATCTCTATTTTGAATAAACCATATTAAACCTAATACATAAACCATTTATTGCTAAAGAAATATTTTTAACCATGCCTTGGTACCCGACCCGGTACAAATTCTTGATCCCATTGCTATGCGAATCCGATGAAATTTCGGTGGCACTCGAGGCAGTTGTCCCGCTATTGTTACTATCCCAGATGACGTAAACGGCGCTTCTGGGGCAGGTTCTAGTCCACTCTTGCAAATCAACTATCTTGCCCGTCCTTTTGAAACCGCCATTTGAGGAAATTAAGCTATTACCGACGATATTGTTTTTAAAGAGGGTAGCGTGAACATTTTGAAAGTTGGAAGAAGGTGAATTAGTTTTCGCGACACTCAGCGGGTTATTGTGTAAGTAATTTTCGTTAACGTTAGAAGTCTGATCACAGCCATCTTGTTCGCCCCATTTCCAATCGACCCCCCTAGCGACTCGGGCACCTGGAAAGAGCCCCCTGGGGTTGATCTTTTTCTTGCACTTGCGTCTGGACTCTAAAAGGACTCTGAGTAAATGAATGGAGGTAAATGTTTGGAGATTTTTATTACACAATTAAAATTTTAAATATGTGAATAGGGTACTTAAAGGTAATTTTAAATGTAATCGCTATCGCTAATTTTTACATTTATCATCCAGTATAGAAAGGTAACCATAATTTTATAATAAACCGGTCACGTGAAAGAAAATTTTCCTATTGTTATTTTTTGAAAGGAAAATGATAATATGGAATTTTTTCTATCAAATTAATATCATTTTTTCTCTTCAAAAAAAAATGTGGAGTAGTTTTTATTGTAACCAATCATATTTCATTTGGGGAAATATGAAGGAGGGGAGGGGGGGTATCAGCTGCAAAAATGTGGTAACTCCTAAGTTTAGCTTTCTGAATTTAGCTTGCATTATATATTATTAATTAATATATAATTTGAAAGTATCGAAGTATCGACATTTATAAGTAGAAAGGTGAACGTAGCAATTATAATAGCCACCACTCTTAACATCTCTTAAGGGGAGTAATGGAGATATATATATGTAATATATAAAATAATAAGCTGAATAATATTTTCCTTTTATATAAAATTGTTTATCAAGATTACTTTTCGCTACGGGGCCTATTGATCCTAAAAAATCGGTGCCTAGTATTGTGTTTATCGCCGTGATAGCAAAGCGAACATAAATCTACGTTGGAGCACTCTCCGCACTTCCACCTGATACCGTGAACGGGTGAAATCTGACAATAATTGCAGGTTACCTTGTCATGCTTGATGCCTTTTTGAATAATAATAATAATAAATATTTTTCTAAAAAAATTGTTGTCAATCTCGTCTTGCGCTAATAAACTTTCTTTCTTTCTTTTTTCTTTCTTTCTTTAGTTTCCTTATTTTAACTTGTTATGTAAATAAAATCTGAAAAAAAATATGACCAAATTTAGTATGGAGAAGAAAATATCATTACGATATGAAATAATAAAAATCGATGCAGGATAAAAAAAAAAAGCCAAATTGTATTTAAAATAAATATAACATGAATGATTTTATTTATTTATTTTTTTTCCACTTTTTTTTATTTTGAAAGTTACAAAAAAAAGTATATAATAAAATTTGTAGCAAACTAGTCTTTTAAGGTGATGAAGGGGGTGGGGCAATGTGGACGAGGTTAAGATGGGTCAAAAAATATTAAATTACGATTTTATTATGTAACTTGTGTATAAACTTAAAGAAGTTTAGTTTTACAAGCCTGTAGTGTAGAGTAGAGTTGTTTTAAACTCCCGCCCATCGGCGGGCGAGCGGTCCAAAAAAATTTAAAAAATGGGCGGGCGAGTGGGCAAGTTAGGAAAAGTATTTAAGCTATGGGTGAGTGGGCCAGCGGGTTAAAAAATTTACAACTTATATTTGTTATTTAAAATCATTTATGTAAGCATTAAAAAAAATATGCTGCCTGAAATTTCAACATTTTTAATACCAAAGGACCGATAACTGAGGATGCTGTCTTCGAAAGAAATTAATTAGGTAAACAAATATATATAAAACATTACATCAACGTGGATGAAAATCTGATTTTTCCCGTCACTCCAAAAGCTAAGAGAATTCAATTAAAAATTATTAAATTATAAATGCAATATTTGAAATAAATAGCATCCACGTCAAAATTAAACAACAATTGGGAAAATGTGGCTGTTACAGAGGAGAGCACCTTACCTAATGACATAACAATATATCTAAATTTTAAGGTAACGAGTTTTTGTATAATTTAGCAAGCTTTTAGGCCACTTAGGTTAGTTTAAGTTTACAATTTATAAACAATTTTAATTTAAATAATTTTTTAAAACGGTTTTACTTTTTGTATAAACTTATCCTTTGAGTGGATATCCTACTTTGATGGAAACGACAAAAAAAAATATTTATCAAAGCTATCAAGATTAGCTAGAAAATTATTGGCAATTCCAGCAACCAGTGCTTCTACTGAACAACGAATTAGCATTGCTGGATTTAATATCAATAAATATTTACTTTATATTATTACATAAATATTTTATTAGATCAAAATAAATTCCTTATCCATAATTTTAAATTAAATTTTTTTTTATTCTTATTAATATAGCAATTTCCTAAATTATAAAACTTTTTTGTAGGGATGTAACGCCGAAACTAAAGCATTTTTTTTTATTGGCAGATTATAAAAAAATGAAAGAATGAGCTTATTTAAATTATATGGGCGGCGTGGGTTAAAAACTTTTTATAAATAATGAGCGGGCGAATAAAAAACTTTAGACCAAAGGTCGGGCGTGTATATTTTTTTTAAACTATGAGCGCGTTGGGCGGGCGGGTTATTTCTTAAATGTTGGACGGGTGGGATTGTGGGCTAATACCGCCCATAGCAGACCTCTAGTGTGGAGTATGTTGTAAGAGACCAAAACCAAACCCATATATGAGTAAACAAATAGTGGTCAACAAAAGTACTAAACTGTTGTCGAATAACAGAGGCATAGCAAATGAATAACGGTAAACTAAAGCAGTTAAAACGAATATCGAATAATTCTCAAAAAGGTTGCAAAATACTCGTTACACACGTATGATACTTTACACAAGTTTTTGATGATACTTTCACCGAGGTACAAAAATTAAGAAATCCTATTCTCGAAAGTATTTGTGATACCTATAATTTTTGAGGATCTTTTGGTGAGAAGAAGAAAAAAATGAGCCGCAACTTCACTGAAATTTATTTATTGGACTCATACCAGACCGTGTAAAGAACCAGAATTTAACAACTATAATATCAAACAAATGAGTTAAACGGTTATTCTCGGAGCTACTTGTACGAGCATAAGGTAACAAAATTTAGGTTCATTTTTCGTGAACCTTCGTTCGAGAATGAAACAATAACATTGATTCTAGAATAATGACTCATTCATTAAAAAGAATTTAAAAAGTGTAAATTGATTGAAATTTAAGCCCCTTTTGAAAGTCATTTAAACGAAATTTCGAAATACCTTTCAATGAGCTCTGTAATGTTACGCGACTCGATTTAAGCAGATGTTTTTTAAAGTGGCTAGATCAATATTTTATGCAGAAACGATATTAAGCAAACCTAAAGATTTTGCTCATAGATGGCAGAAAGCTTTGGACATCTATAAGTGAAATCTCGAGGCTCAGGCAATATTATTCTGCTTAAAATATTGAGTAATCCGTTTTAAAAATAAGCTCAAATTGAGCCGTTTAACAACACTAGGCGTCTATTACAGATAATGAATCACATTGACTACGTATGTAGGTTGGGAAACAAACTAATAAACGATAATTCCGAAATATTTATTCTCTAGCGTATACTAACAGCTGTAGTTGAGGAAATAAATAAATTTATCTTTAAGCCAGCAAAATGTAACTTTAAATTATTAATTGAAACAAAACAAAAAAACGGAAAAGATCAAAGAAAATATAAAATTAAAATAAAGAGGACAAAAAATTAACTTAGAAAAACCATTAGCTAGCGTTATTTCAAATTATCTACGGCTACTAGCAATTTTTTTTGATGACTATGACAAGGGCTAGCAATAATACCGATATTTTCTTGTCTTGGTTTACAATCCCGAAACAATATAAGATCATATTGTATTTGGGATTTTTAAAAAATTAATACTACCTTAGTGCCAACACAAATAGCTGGTTAAAATCAATCTAATTATTATATATATATATTGATAATAATTTTCTCTCTTTTCAAGATAAGTTTGGGTGTAGAATAAAGTTTTGTTTAGTTAAAAAACACACAAAAATATATTAGGGATGATTTAAGAATATTTAACATGAGTAAACTATAAATTAATTATTTTGCTTCTCTAAATTTTATGGATCAATATCAATGTAAATAATGTTTAAACCAATACAATAGTTTGAAATCAATACCATACCAATAGAATTTGTTTTGTTATTCTAAGCCAATACTAGCTACTTACATATTTTTTATAAGATAATCAATCCCTCAAATTCCTTCTCTCTTAAAGAAAAATAAGTAAAAATTAATAATAACTATATTATACACATTCTTTAGATATAAAAAACAAGCTAAAATTATTTTTATAAAAATTTAATATAATCAAATGCTATCATAATAAGTGGGACTAAAGGTATCCAATAAAATCAATGTAAGAAACACACCTAATAATGACCCCCTCCCCACCCCTATCTTTCAAAATTTGAAACTAAGACTATGATTTCTAAAGATTTTTCCCCAAAATATATTAATTTTAAATTTATCTGTAGGGGAAAAGATGTCCACCATGTCAAATAAAAAAGTTTTGATATGCATTATTTATAACTAATATATAATATTCTTCATTTATAATAAATTTATGCATGCATTTTTAAAATATAAAATAAATGTAAATAAAGAAAAAAAGATAAAAATCATTATAATAATTTTTTAAATTTAATATTTATTAATTTTTTTTTGAAATAATGACCATAATTAAAAATCTGCAGGAAAAGAGCATAAAAGTTGTGCCAATATTTTTTTAAAAAATGTAATCTATTCAAAGGCTTCCAAGGGCCTAGAACTCTCCAATAAAATGTGTGATGAGGGGATCTTCTAAATAAAATTCCTAATTAAGTTATCCAAGTGTAAAGTGGTTAAATGGTTTGATTTTTAAAGACTAAAGCCAAAAAATATTATGCAAATGTTGAGATTTTGCTCATAGATGTCAAAAAGGTTTGGAAATCTATTGAAATCTTGAGGGTTGTGTAATATTTGGCTAAAATATTTGATTATGATTAACTAAATTGGGCTGCTTAACAATATTACACCAATGTAAGTAAAATATATTATTTTTTAAAATGATTTAATTAAAATATCAGGATAGTCATTAAAAGTCAATATAATAAAATTGAGCATACCTGCAGATGCACTATCAAGGATTCTCAAATCATAAAACATTGAGCATCTATAATTTGCTGCTGTTCCATGATCCCAAACTATTAAGACTTCTTCAGGTGATTCAAAATTCCTAACTGTGCCAACATATCCCTCACCACCATCTTGTTTTCCCCATTTCCAATCAGGACCTCTAACAACTCTTGAGCCTATGAATTCAGATAAAAAGCTCATATTGTCATCATTATTTTGAGGGGCAATTTTTTTTGACTTTTCTATCTTATTTTTATCATTATTATAATTAATAACTGATGATGAGCAAGCCATATCTTCCAAGCTCCTAAATAATTCTGGCCTATAACTGATAGGCGACTTTAAATGACTAGTACTGTCTTTTAAAGATTCCATAGATTTGTTCAATATATTTTATTGAAATCATATGTTTTGTTTTATCTCTACAATAAAAAAAAGGATAGTAAATATCTGTCATATATGCTGTCAAATTTGATTGATTATATTATATGGACCTGTCTGGCTCATCACTAATTTGATTTCTTTTTATTAAAATTACTTATTTTGTCTTCCGTATAAATATCAATCTAGATACAAGCCTAGTGTCTGTGTGGTGTGCAGAAATATTTATATAAATGCGTGATTGGGGTGGCTAAATTTATGTTGAGGGCACTGGCCTAAGCCACGTGGGGGCAGATTCCCTAATTTTCGGCCTCTTAATCTTTCTTCTGACTTTTTTTGGCTCTCAGAAATGGTCTCTATATTACGGTCCTCCAATATATAAGAAAATACAAGTTAAAAAATTTTAATTCAATTATTAAATCTATAAAAAAAAACATAAAATTCTTATAAAGTTGATTTTAAGTTCAATATTGTTTTATAAGAATACTGAAAAAGGATATATATAAATACTGGTCATCTTGCTGAACCATCAAATTGTGCGTAATCAATAACATTTAAAATCGATATTTGATATGATATAATTTCTTCTACTACAATAACTAATTCAGGTGAAAATGTAATTACATTTACTTTTTATTGCTGTATTTTTACATCTTAAGAGATGAAGAATATTAAAATATTTAGTATATCAGTGACTACACTAGTCTGCAATCCCAAGGGGCTGAACTAATAAAATATATATGGCGTCTCCCCCCCCCTCCCTCTATTCCGTAATAATAAGTAATAATTATTTATAATATCAAAGAAAGTAAATTTTGAAAGTAAAAAAAGTGATAAAAAAAATATTTTTTTTCTTATATTATCCATATCTTTATGAGGATTGTTGCCGACAATTAAGTTTGCAATAGCATCCTCATCAGATTCCATGCCTATATTTTATTTTTCTTTGATTACATTAGAAAATATAATTCCATCAGAAATATCCTAATTGAGCCTAACATACAAATAAAATATCCAATATAGAAATTAATCTACTTATTTTCTTTCTCTTATTATTTTACTTTCAATATTTACATCTCTCACAGCTACAGTTAATCTTTTTTTTATTATCTAGAGCTTAGTTTGAAATTGAAAAACTGTATTTTATTAAATGTACTTGTTTCAACTTCAACTCTTTCATTGCCTCATCTTTCTTTGTCTAAAATTTCATCATCGATATTGCTTTCATTTACATTATTTAAAGCATTTATCTCAAAATCAATATCTATTCTTATTATATAATAAATATAAAATAAACGAGTAAATATTTTAATTAAATATATCAACTCTTTCATGGCCTCGTCTTTTTTGTCTAAAATATTCTCAACATCAATATTATTTCCATTATTTTAAGCATTTATCTCAAAATTAATATCTCATTTTTATTCATTATTTCGATTATTGGAAATATTATTATATATTCTTATAGATTATTTTAATTAATATTATAATTTATTTATATAATATTTTTATAATTATTATGATTTATGTTAATTTATTATAATTTATGTTAATTTATTAATTTATGTTAATTTATTAATTTATGTTAATTTGTTATAATTTTTTTTTATTTTAATTAATATTAAAATATTATTTTATTGCATCTATAACAATAATGGATGTTAAAAACTGTGTTGACTCCAAATTAATATATCAAAAAATTAAAGAGGTAAAAATTTTATATCAAAATTTAATTTGACCCAAGAAAAATCCACAAGTGTTTGTAAAACGCCAAATAATATTTAAGAATTTTTGGTTTATACAAGTGACGAAGCTTCTATAGAAGCTAGGGAGACATTGCTTCCCTTGAAGTTTTTCCTAAAAAATTCTAAATAAACTTAATATAATCTCTATAATATGTTTAAAAAAAACTTATCTGACTTCGTTAAAAAAAACTAATATAATTTTTATTACGTTAAAAATATTAATATTATTTTTACTACGTTAAGAAGAATGACTATTATTTCTACTACGTTAAATAAATTACTATTTTTTTTACTACATTAAAAAATTTACCATTATATTTTACTACGCTAAAAAAATGTATACATGAGGGAAGCAAATTTAATATTGCTTTTTTTTTAATAAATAAAGAGAAAATCATGCGAAAATATTGTGTAATTTTACGTTTAAGAAAGAAGCATTGGGGAAGCAAATTAAAAAATGCATATTTTTTTAATAAATAAAAGAGAAAAAATTTTTTTATACTATATTTTTTTTCTTTATTTTTTTAAATAAAAAATATTTACTTTTTTATAAGCAATAATTAATGTTTAATAATTATAATTATATTACTGAAAATTTATTAAGATTATCAGATTATATAAAAAGTATCTGTATCTATATATTATTTCTGAGGTATCTGTGTATAGATACTTTTTGATATACTTTCATTTAACACTTTTTTTTATCTAAAAAATAAAAATATATTTAAGTGCAAATTTTATCTCACATATATGAGCATATTATTTAAATAAATATATATTATAAAAATTTTAAGACTAAAATATATATGTACAATATTAATACTTATTTTAAAAATAGATATAAATACCACTTATTGCAACTTAATCAAATAATCAACGAAGCTTATTTTTCCCCATTTATATCTATAGATATCTGTTCAAGATTGTGAAGAATATTTTTATCATTCTAAAGAATCTATAAATCATTGCTTAGCCATGACGCCCATTAATTATAAACAATAACATTGATGCACATAATTATTTTAAATAAATAAATTTTATTTAGAGTTTTGTAAAATAATTTTATAGATATTCCGCTAAATTTTAATGTAAATTTTAAATCTATTTATGATATCGATTGAATTAATTTTAAATCTAGCAATAACTCTGTACTTGATCATTTTATTCAAAAACAAAGTCGAATTCTACTTATTTATATATTTTAATTTTTTTATGATTTCACTAATAATTAAATTTAAAAAAAAATTTTGATTGCTTCCCTAGTAGTAAACTTGATGCTTCGTCACTGGTTTATGCCAAATTAAAATTTGATTGTAGGACTTAAATTGGATTTCTTTCTTATAAAGGAAATTATTATGTAATAAAATAATTGATTATTTTATTGAATTTTTTAAAAAGATTTACTGACCATGATTATGACATTGTTTTTATATATTGTCTCTTGACCTAAGTTATTTTATTGCAGATAAAATGACTCTAATGTGTCTTTATTAAACTTTAATATTGAAACATCACATCATGAAATGAAATTTTCAAAGGGATTATTAGCAGCTGAAGTGGTAGAAAAACATGATTTTAAAAATATTATCAATACTATGTGTAAGAAAAGTGTCATATTGCATTTAACGAATTTTATAAATGATTTAACAGCTATTGCCATTAGGTTATCAACGCCTTCATGTGTGGCTTCATTCTCTACGTACATGTGGATTTTATGAATCGATAAAGGAATAAGCAAACATAATTTAGTTCTAATGTCTCATGAAAAAAAAATAACCCAACATTTATGTTAATATTTAAAAATAAAAATAATCCTATTACATATTATAAGAGCATTATTTTGTATATCCATAATTATTTACATATAAAAAATATTTAATCTATTAATACAACTTAGAAAACTGAGTAATAATATCGATCAAGAATCACTAGATTTATTTATTTGTTGAGGCGAAATTATATGCTTTAGATTCACAAGCCTCGTTACTACCTAGCTAGACAAACAAATTGTTGCAATATTAATGTGCACTTAATTGAGAGCTACTATAAAATAAACGTCTGATGTGTTATACACTCGAACAAATTAAATTTAGTGATAAATTACTCGTATCAGATCTTTCAATCGTTGACTTAAGTTATTTAAAGGTGTAAAATGGTTGGTACCTATGATAGTATTACAGGGAAATTGTCATGCCTAGCCCATTCCAAAATATTTAACTCATCTGCATCATTAAAATATCAATTATCTATTGTCAAAATCTCTCATTCTACAGGGCCCCTTAACTTCTTCGAACCATCCAATATTTCTCTTAATAAAAAAAAGCAAACAGCGCTACACATCCCTTTTTAAAAGGCGGAAACTCTTAACATGATCTCTTCCTATTGTGTTTTTCCCCCAAATCTTAATACATATACCCGGTTTTACAGGATCATCACATTAAAAACTCTAGGTTACCTCCAATTACATTTTACAACAGTTATAACAAGCAACATAACACATAGGCTCTCAAAGATCTGCGTTTGTATCTTTAGAAAGAAACTAATATACAAATATAAGTAAATACAGTGCAAAGTTGATTTTACCTAAATTATAGTTACAATTATATTTTCACAAAACTATTATTTGCTAAATTTCTATATTTGATTGTGTTGTATTGTATACCATTTACAAATTGTATGTTTCTATTGAAAATAATAAACTAAATTTTTTTTAATAACATTTTGAAAATTAAATGAAAGTAATGGAAACACATACATCTTACCTTTTTTTTATATTACATATATGATAATAATTAAACTAGTAATTAATTTTGAAATACAAATATCTTAACATTTAACTAAAATTTTATTTTGCATATTTTATTGCTATTATTTGAAGAAGAAAAAAGATATATATATATTTAAGCAAACTGACATTTTTTGAATAGTTTTTCTAAGCGAATATAGAAGCCTTTCGGGAATTTATATTGCCTTTTGTTTTTGGGATAATATTTTTTTATTTCAATTCGAGCAATTAAATGCTTGGGGTAACGCATAGATTTGTAAATGGTAGACCCATTAATAGCTTGCTTAGTTCTGAACTTCACCCCATTCGAATTTTGGATAATTATTGCCTTGGATTAAATAAAAGAAGAAATAAAAATGAAAATGAAAATCGAATATATACTATAATATATTAATGGTATATAATATTAATATTTTAACTGAGATTCATTATCTATTTTAATTATCTACAAGTTTACAATAAACAATATATTAATATGTATAATTCGTTGAACAAACTTCATCAAATTTTGTGCTCAAAAATACATCCACTTCTGGGTTATCTATATTAAATATTACTACGGTAATGTCTAGTCCCGTTACGTTCAGTTTTACCTGTTCAAAAAAAAGAGAGAAAAATTTAATTGACATATGTAATCACTTGTAAATTACCCTATGTGGGTTAACTTCGATTCGGTAATCTTTCTTGTTGCTAAATAATTTGCCAATCATGGTGCGATAATACATATGGAAAACATTCTGCACTCGTGGGATATTCTTATTCTTCTTTATTTTATTATTGTCATTCCTATACATTGTAGTTGCAACATGGTATTCAGATTCTACTCTTTCTACGACACCATTTTTAGTTGATGCCAAAGGGATAGCGCTGGATTTAATAAACAACAGAGTTTATCAATTTTTACCATAAAATGTTATCAAAATATATTACTCAAAGAAACGTCCCCGTCTGTACACATTATAAATAATCGGTGATTTAACTAAATCACAAACATCTTCGTAATCAACGTAAGATTCTAATGGGAGATATAATAAATATAATATTTGCATAAGAATGTATCGTTCAGTTTTTATCCTTCATTTAGGATTTAATATTAAATTATCAATTGTTATATAAACAATAGGATTTAGACTGGCGGGATATTAATTCAAAGTCTATAAATGATAGATCAGCTGGTAACACTGACATGCCATTTTAGTTTTTTCATTATAAATAGCTTACATTAAAAAAAATTTAAAAATTTTTATACGGGGAAACCAAAATGGCGTGTCAGTGTCACCATATGATTTGCATTTAACCACAGCTTCAAAATGATTTCATAAACAATTATTAATCATTTAGGAATCAAACTAAAATGTGGGTATAGCATATTGGGTGTTCGAAAAGTGTTTTGCTGAATCCTGAAATTCGTTACGCTAAGTTCGCTTTGAACTTCCTCCTTGTTAGCGTTTACGGTTAATTTTTTTATTCCCTTCCCTATTTTCAGAACATAGAAGCCGGTATAATATTCCTTAGTGTAGAGTGTTCCGCCAACTTTCATAATCTCCATCTAGTTTGAAATTAAATGATTCGAAATTTTGATTTTATTTATTTTTTATTTTAATAAAGAAGTCCAAATTAACTAACTGTTGATAACAAAATAAATTTGCCTTAAATAAAAAAACCAATAAAAATGTTTAAGTGCCTAACCTTATTAACGGCCTCCGGGATTGGTGCAAATCGATAGCCTGAAAAATCGTAACAATAATATGTACCGTTATCTTCATGATTTAACAAACACACTCTTAACATCTTTCTATTCAAGGTAAAGCTTTTGCCTGGAATAAACTAAAACATATATATATAATTAGAAGAATATAACAGAAACAGAGGACTAGAAAAAAAAAATTTTAACGCTAAAAAGTCTTACATTTTATTCTTATTTGTTGGTTTTAAAATTTATATATATTTTCATACCTACAAGTTTAAATGGGGGTAATTACAAGTTTCAAGTACCGCCCAACGGTAACATATTAATGCTAGAACAAGAATTATTCCTAACTCTTTTTTTTATTAGTGTCCTAAATGAGAATACCTCAAATTGGGTTTTAAAGAAATAATGAAGAAATGAAAAACGATTTAAAGGTGGTTTTAAAACTCATTTATAAATATAGAACTAAATATATTTCGACTTTATTTTTAACATAATTTTATTTTTCTTAGAATATTTATATACTGCTTTGATCATTATTTAATAGATATAAAAGTTGGTTGCCACCCAAGTTGAGTTCAATATAGCTTAAAAATTTATATTATTTTGTATATTAAAATAATTTTCTGATTATAAAGTATGAATATAAATACCAATTATTGATGCTCTATTTTAACGATACTAATTTTATATAAGGTGTAATATGAACTAATATAAATTTAAAAATTTATCAATCGTAAATCTTAAAGAATTACTTGTAAATTACTCTACGCATAAGGCATAATCTAAAAAATTTTTACTAATATCAACATTTATTTGTTGTTAAAGGGCACGATTTGGGCCTATTTTTAAAGACGGCTACCTCAATATTTTAGCCAGAAAAATATTGCCTATATCTCAAGATTTTGCAAAGATGTCCAACCCTTTGTGCCATCTATAATCAATATCTTCCGGCTTGCTTAATATTTTTCTGTAAAAATATTGTGTTAGTCGTTTTTAAAAATAATCGAGCCGTTTAACAACACTATTTATAGAGATACGACTTAACTAAACATAATAGTAATGTCCTAACAAAAAGCTATTTTTTGTTCACGTCATTTAGAAAAGTTGATTAAGTTTGTACATTTTAATACTAATTATCTTTAATGCATATAATTTATAAGGTTGATAAGCTATTTAGAATTAATAATCTTAATTATTAATAAATTCAAACATAAATTGAAACTGTCCACGATTTGTTTTTATATGACATTCAAAGTTTACTGAAATTATAAATGATTAAATTCTAAAATAATTCAAACAGCAGCTTATAAAAATTTTCTTAAATTATAGCGGAATTTTTAAAATGCAGTGTCAGTTTATAGCAGCGCTTAAAAATCGTCGTCTTGTTGCCAATTTTTAGAGCATTTCAGATTTTTGCGACGTTTTTAACGCAGCGTTAAAAAATAGAGCAAGCTCTAATGCTGAGCGCGGTAAATAGCACGATATCTCTCTCCCTCTACCAGTGAGAGAATCAACTAAATACATTGATATACGTCACTATTATCGCCTTTAACTAAAAAAAAAATTGTCTTAATTATATTCATTACCTGATTAATAATCTCTTCGGAAATCCCACTATTTAAAACAAAAATAAAATTTATTTGAAAACAATAAATAATTATTATTTATTAATTAATAAAAAATCTTTCTGATAACACTCCCCACCCACCAGTGGCGGGCTGGTTATAACATCAAGTGAGAATTTTATTTGAGGAGCTGGAAAGATTTTTCTCTTAATCTTACATAATTCATATTTTATATATTAAAAAATTATATATATATATATTTTCTAAATATATTACTATCGGTCATTCAGAAAAAGAAAACGTTAGAGGAATTGATGGCGCAAATTGAGCTAGAAGTATTCCATGTTTATTTGCGCCAAAATTATAAGTTAATGGGAAGCTTATTAACTTAAAAAAATATATTACAATCGTTTAATTCATTCATTTAAATTCAACGTCTATTTGCTATATACCCAATTTTATATAGTCTGATTTTCTATGCAATGCGTATATCATTCTAAATGTATAATATGCAATGTAGGCTTTAAAGGTGCACAGAGAACCTAGCTAAGATTGACCCGGGCAAAGAATGAATTCAATAGTCTATTTAAAAAACTAGTTTATCTATACCCCAAGCAAACAAAATCTAAATTAAAATTAACAAAGAAAAAGGGAAATTATTATCAACAAAAAAGAGACCGAGTGCTACTCTGTTTGCAGGGGACTCTATATATTAAAAGGAGCCCGTTAATAAATATGACCGGCCCGTTAAAATTTTACGAAAAGACAGGAGGCTAGACCCAGTATAATTTTACCTAAGTCCGCCCTGGATCGTTAAAATTTTTTATACAATTCTTTCTTACTTTCTTTATTATCTATATTTAACCCCCCCCCCTCTTATGTCAATTAAGGCTTTTTTATCTTCTCTTTTAACGCTATCTATTTAGAACAACCGTTTATAAATCAATTTTGTTTGATATTACATTGCATATTTGTAATTGGATAATAATCGTAAATAACTTTGTTTTAAATTTTTACGAATTTAATATAATTCTTAGATTTAAGAGTTAGACAACTCTTAAAATACACTAATTTTTTTCAGATAATATTAATTAAAATAAAAAATATTAGCTTGAAATTCAAAAAAATATATTGTCACAATTTTAATAGTCGGGATAGTCTTTTAAAATTTTATGAAAAATCAGAAACTTTGCTGGGCTCTCTCTGATTACAGTGTAAATTGCGTTAAAATTTAAGCCATGCTCCACCCGCGGCTGGGCTTTTAGCCGGGCGTTGCAGATCTCTACTATATATTTACTCTAACCCAACTCTACTCATTCGTAAATTCCTTGATTAATTATTTCACTATTCAAAAGATTTGTCCCCAAATCAGGTATCCAACCTGAGTCGGAATGCCTCAATTCAGGTTTGCAAATATTCTTAACACCTGTTATTCAAACTACATGAATAATTAAGAAAAGGGCATAAAAAACTAAAACGTTTAAGCTTTATGGATGAGTATACCTTTTAGGGGAGGGAAGTGAGGGGGGGGGGTGTATATTTATATATTTTGTATAATGAATGATAATGATATTCACCTTTGAGCTTTTGTATTTATTAATATAAAAAATAAATAATATAATTTATTAAAGTAGTAAAATTGTATATAATTATATAGAAAATGTTGTTATTGTCGGGATCTCAGTGTGTAGTCATTTTATTATTATTTTTAAACAATAATATTTTATTGTGAAATTTGATAAATAAAGCGCTCTTTCCCCGAAAAATGTTATCAAAATTTGGCGGTGCGTTTTTGGGTCTGGACTTAATTTCTATTGAAGTAGCCTTGCACACATTTTTAAAATCCGTTTTATTACTAGGGTGGTTTCAGGTCCGGGCCTGTTGACCTTTATTTTTAAAGATTTTAATAAGATATTTTATGACTTAAATTAAATATTTTTTAAAAAGCAATTTATAAATGCATAAAATTAAGAGCCTGTTATTTAAGAATTTCGGGATGAGCTTTATATATTTTTAAAATAAAGATATTAATTCGGTTATCAATTTGTTTCGCTTTCGAGGACTTTAATTTCATGCTGAGAATGGAATCTTCCCTTTTTAAAGAGCTTTTCCAAAAATTATGCTAATGGGGTTAGAAACATGTATATAATTGGGATGGATTCATTTTTATTGTATAGAATTATTTTAAACGACCGAATTGATTCATCCGAAAAAATTTTATTTTTTTAAAAAAAAAAAATAAGATTATTATATCTAACGATAGTAATAATAATTATACCTTCCGGGGTCGCTAGAATTGACAAAAATGTTATAGCTATGAACACGAATAGATTGTTATTCATTTTCGAAGGGTTATAAATTATGTGAGATAATTTTAAAAAAATTTTAAAAATGGGCGCATAGTTTATAATTTGTATATTATTATTATTATTATTCAAAAAAAAAATTCTATTTATCTTAAATAATTAAATATTTAGATTGGAATACTAGTTATATCAAGAAAATTGTAACCTATTCTGCAATGTAAACAAGAAATGAGAAAAAAAAAATTTTAGTCAAAAATAACAAACAAACCATAAAATAAACAAATGATCTTCAAATATTTATCTGTAACTGTATAGCGTGTAAAGTAATTTCGCTTTCTTATGATAGTAAAAGAATATAATAACAGAAGAAGAAGAAAAACGGGAGTAGTAAAAATATTTGGAACAATGTTAAATGGGTCGAGGTTATATTTACCTAAAAAATATATTGACCTAAATGCTAAGATATAACGAGTCGAAAATATAACACTTCTATTTGAATAATATTTACTCAATTCGAATAATTCCTACTAGAATATTAATTAGTTCATTACGAATATCAAACTAAAGGTATAAAATTATTTATTATACCATTACAAAGTGCTATAAGGCTTTAAAATTTTTAATAACAGTTTAAAAATAAATTGCACTCGAGTTATATAATATATATACTACACGCATGATGAATCAACATACACTAAAACTAATATTTTATCTTATGTGTGTGTGTCATTAAAAATAAATGAGTAACAATCATGGGTGGAAGAATCCAAGATGGCGCACTTGCACTTCCCTAGGAATTATGAATATTTATTAGAAAATCTGGATATTGTAAAATTTGCAATTAAATTGATTTCATTTATTTGCCTTAATTTTTAAGTATAAGGCTATTTGTTAACCACGTAAAAAAATATTTCCCTCTTGGGGATATTTTATTTTTAACTCATTTTAATTTTTATGGTTGATTTTAAATATTGCCAAGGTCGACAAATAGTAATTTTCTAAGCAACCACTTAATTTGATAAACAACGACCAATTTTATTCTAAGGCTCAAAATTTATTTAATCTTTATATCAAGAGATAGAATCACGCGTACCCTAAGACGGAACCTTGATTCAGAAAAAAAATATATGGTCCTCTGTTTTCGAACTAACTACCAGATTGGCAAGTCACACTCTTAACAAGGCCAGAGATACTTCCCAATGATTGCGATTTTTTTAAATAAAGAAAACAAAAACAGTTCTATCTTTTAAGGGAATTGACAGTTTTTGACCTTGTCTCCAATTTTTAATTAGCCCTAAAAAGTAAGTACTTCAATTCCTTTTTGTTGCAAGATTAATTGCACTATTTAAGCCTGATGACGAGGATCAGCCGATTGCAATAAGGCCTCTTTTTAGGAGACTAATAGCTAAGATAACTTTGAGTGCATCAAACCTGTTGCTTCAAAAATGTTACAAACATATTAAAAAGGCTTTAATAAAAAAAAGGAAGGCAAAATAACCCTTTACTCTACGTATATACCTCGATGATTCTCTACCAGGTACCGTAGTCTCTAAGCTGGATTTAAAAAGTGCTTTTAATTCTTTATTCAGAAAATTATTATTGAACATATTTTATAAATAATTATCAGTGCATGTTAAATTTATTGACAGGCATATGACTATGGAACCCCTCTTAAATTTTGGGATTATATACAATCCTTTCTGTTGAGGTTATACAACAAGGGAACCCTGTGGTTCCTCTCGTCTTTAGCTTGGGCATACATAATTTAATTCATTCTTTAAAAACTCTTTTTAACTTATACGTAAATATATTAGTGTTATTAAACGGCTCGATTTGAGCCGATTTTTAAAACGGTTAACTCATTATTTTACCTAGAATAATATTACGCAAGACTGAAGATCTTGCTATATGGCACAAAGATCTAGACATCAATTAGCGAAATCTAGAGTCTTAGGCAATATTTCTGGCTAAAATATTGAATTAGCCGTTTTTAAAAATCGGCTCAAAACGAGCCGTTTAACAACACTAAAATATATGGTATCTGGATGATGGCATCATCTGTGAACCATCTAAAAATATCTTAGGTCGTAGATTATATAGAGCTGAATTCTCCTTTAAAAAAAGGTCTTACTCTAAAAAGCTAAATCTGAAATATTCATTTTAAATTCCAATGCCCTCCAAAATCTTGAGGTTTAAAATTATTAAATAAAGTTAATCTTTTTTGTTTCCCCTATAAGCACTTTTTCCAACTGTAAGGTGTTCATGGGAAATTTTTTTAAAGGCTTATTAAAAAAATAATATTTAATTTAATCAAAATATTTTATTTTATTTTTAGATCTTCTTCCTTTTCATTTAAATAATGAAGTTATGTTTCCATAAATTTTTTAGGAATATTTTAGGAAATATTAAATATTTGGAGGATTTTAACTGGGGTCTATCACAACCTTGAAAATGGGAATTTTAGATTTGTACCCATTAAATCTTATATCTCTTTCTTCATTTTGGCATCATATTCGATGAATAACGCCATGATATCTTCTTTTAACTCCTAAGGATAACATTTTATATCTTTAGCTTTACCTGAATCTGTTTTACCCACACTTTAACACATCCAATTTTTGGAACTTTAATCTAAATTTTAAAAAAAAAAATACTCTCATCAAACCCTCATTGAAATATATCCTATTATCATCGGATCGTGAAAGGGTTTGCTCAAATAGCAGCTATATCAATTGTTAAAGAAAGGAAGAAAATTTGATTTAACAAATGAACAAGAGGAGTCCTTCAAAGAATTAAAATGTCGAATAGGAAAGGTTCTAGTGTGTTTTAACAATGAATTGGAGGTGATATTAGCGGTGGATACATCTAATAAAGGTATAGGAGGAGCGCTGTTGCATTATATTGATGGGGTATAGAAGCCGGTGTTTATTTTCTCAAGAATATTTAGAGCGGCAGAGACCAGGTATTCAGTTAGTGAGCAAGAAGCATTGGCCGTTATTTTCGGGTTAATGAAGTGCCGTGAATATCTGATTGGACGCCGGTTTGTAATTTACACGGATCATAAGCCGTTGATGCATTTATTCAAGAAGGACAACAAAGAGCTAATGTTGTCGCCTAGGCTGCAGAGATGGTTATTGCTCGTGTGCAGTTTTGGTGTCCAAGTGAAATATCAACGAAGGAGAGGAAATTATTTACCGGACATTTTATCCAGATGCGGAGCGGGGGAAGATTTAGGGTAGAAGGGACTAAAGGAACGAGAGAAAGAATTGAACAAGGACTGATTCGGACGATGGCGGGAGTATCTAGAGGCGGGCCAGTAACATGGGAAGAGATTAAAGGGGTAACTTTGAAAGATAAGGAAATGAGACGGATCAAAGCGTGCCTTAAGGGAAGGAAAATGTGTTGGGATGGAGACAAGGCCTATATATGTACAGAAGGAGTTGGCTATAATAGATGAATGTTTGGTGCGAGGAAACCGGAGTGTTATACCGGTCAAATTAAGGGAAGCGGTAATGGCAATGCTGAACATCAAGGAATGGAAAAAATGAAACGGTGGGGACGGGAATATGTTTGATGGCCATGAATAAACAGAGACATTGAAAATATCAGTCTAACCTGTGTTAGATGTAATTCTTGGGCTCCCATGCCACGAAAAGATAAGGAAATTATGTGGCCGAAGGTTTTTTTTTGGTTTATTTTAATTTGCTTTTCAACACACTTGTTTTTTACTTGATATATTTTTATTCAAAACACTTGTTTTTTACTTGATATATTTTTACTTGATTTTTCCTTTTTTTGTCTTTGTCTTACTTTCTTCTTTCTTCAATGTAAACTTTTTAACACACAAAAATAATAATTTTATTTTCACTTTATATATACATCGCGAAAAAAATTAATATTTTAAAAAAACATAATCTACACAAAACAATAAAATAATATTATCTAAAATAAATAAAATAATTAATCTACACAAAACATTTCTTTTCCACTATTATTAACGTATAAAAATCAATACATATTCAACTATTACAAAATAGTGACTCTACTAGTGGTTATGAATAGTTAAAAGCATCACCAAGTCGTAGCCTAAGTAACCACTTATCAGATAAACAATTAAGAGTTGACGTAGGCCGTCGAATTGGATGTAACTTTATTCAACCACATAATAAATGAGATATAGAATATCGGTTGATTCCAAATAGTGTTGTTAATCGGCTTAGTCGAGTCGACTTAGCCTAAATTTTTGTCAAGTTTTGAGTCGTAAAACTCATTTCAAATTTAGCGGCTCAATGAGCCGCATGAGTCGGCTCTATATATAATAATAAAATAATAAAAAATAATTTTATTTGTGCCATTATTATAATTATAAATTGTGGCATAAATCACTTCAAGGGGCTTCCTAGCTAAACCATTGGTTTTTTTAGGCCATAATAAATTGAAAATCATTTTTATTTATTAATAATGAAACGCATAGAATAATTTTATTGTTTAAATTATCATAATATTTATAAATTGAAGCTATTAGGTGAAATAAAATGAAATCTTTTATAGTTTTTTTTATCTTATTCTAAAATATCTATTTTTTATGTATATTAAAAGAAGTGGTTTTTTCTAAATAATTTATTTTTAAATATTTATTTTTTATAATATGATCTTTTTATACTATATTATTAATGTGATAATGGTAGTGTTGTTAATCGGCTTAGCCGAGTCGGCTCGAACGCAGCTCACCCAAATTTTGGGTCGTTTTTTTCGACTCTAACTCAAAGTTTTGGTCGTTTTTTACGACTTCGACCCGAGTTCAAGCCGAAAAAAATGACTTCGACCCAAAATATGGGTCGTTTTTTTCGACTCCGACCCAAGTCCAAGCCGAAAAAAACGACCTCGACCCAAAATATGGGTCGTTTTTTACGACTCCGACTCAAAATTTGGGTTGTATTTTTCGACTCAAACTTGAAATTTGGGTCGTATTTTTCGACTCAAACTTGAAGTTTGGGTCGTATTTTTCGACTAAAACTTGAAGTTTGGGTGTATTTTTCGACTAAAACTTGAAGTTTGGGTCGTATTTTTCGACTCAAACTTGAA